GCTTCGGGCCTTTAGGGTTTAGGGCTCCTGGCGAACATGACGGAAGTTCTTGCGCTCATTGACCTGTGTATCTTAAGAGCGCGGATGCTGGTCATGGCGTGATCGCACAACTCTTCTGCCATCAGACAGTCGAAATCCCCAAATTCAAAACGCTCAACCCAAAGCCCAGAAAACACACACATTGCTGAACCAAAGCCATTTATTTTCTGAACCCCTACAGGAACCACAAGCCCCTTAATCCGCTGCTACAGTCAGTCTACGTCTTTTCCCCTCCTTGGCTTCGCGAAGAAGAAAGGAAACTGCGGGAAGCCTTTACCTGCCTGGAGGGCGTCCGGATGCACCGAAGCCAAAATGGGGGGGGGGGGGTTCGGGTTTAGGNNTTAGGGTTTAGGGTTTGGGCGTTAGGGTTTAGGGTTTAAGGTTTAGGATGGGGGTTTCGGGTTTAGGGTTATAGGGTTGAGGCGTTACCATTGGGTCCTTCGCAGTTAGAATCGCTTCTTGCAGAAAGCATCTTCGACTGGAACTACTATACTAGCGGCTGCAAGGTGACAAGATGGGGCTTTACGCAGACGAGGGGTTTAGGGCTTTGGGACATTGGGGCTTTGGGTTCGGGCAGGGTTTCGGGGCTTTGTGGGTTAGCTTCCACTCGGGCTTGTTAAGGGTTTCAAGCTTCAGAGCCTACTGAAACATTCGGAGGTTCTGGAGGGATTTGCGGCCTGTGCAGATGTCAGGGACAGAGCTGAGAGCTTTGCATTTCAGACCGAACACCCCAGTCGTGTGGGCTTTCCACGGAGCATGAACTCCCTGCAAGCCCAGTCCACGAGTGAGGATAAGGGTTAAGGATTGAGGGGTTTACCAGGCTTACTACAACGGGTAAAATAAGCAAGGGTTCTAACCGGCAAGGGATTGTTCGACTTGATACCTTTTTCGGAAGGGCTCTTGAGCGCTCCGTCTGGAGAGTGTTTCGGAGTTCCGTCTTCGGGGATGTTAGATAAGGGCTCCTGCCGCAGGACTCCTGCCCATTATTTCAAATTGCGAGTCTTGCTTCAGGGCAAGGGTCGGGTGAAGATTGTCTGGTTTACCCTTCTGTCGAAGCCAGATGATGGATGAAGTAAGTGCGGGATGTTGTCTTCGGCCCTACACCATGAATGCTAATCCCAGCATCGAAATACTTGATGCAATGTGTCACCTGCTCAGGCATTTTCATGAGCAGCGCGGCGTGCCCTTCTTTTCTGCCCTGTGCTCAGCTTTGTGGGTGCAGGAAATCTAAGCCTTAAATACCCTAAGCCCTAGGCCTTAAGACCCTAAACCTTAACCCCTAATGTGGTGGCCCTTTTAGTAACTTGGGCCTCTTTAATGCGTTTTTTTCCTTATTCAGGCCGGGACCAAAAAAATGACCGGCTCAAATAATGCGTTTTTTTT